TTTTTTTTTTTTTTTTTTTTGTGGTTCCCTCGTGCTTTTCTTTTTGTTATTGTTACCTTTTTGGTGCTTGTCTCTTGATACTGATTCGTTTTTATTTTCCTGGATACTTCAGATGAGTGGTCTAAGAATGAAGGTGGCTGGAAGATTTAAGCCGTGTGCACACATGGGCTGTTTTGATCTTGACGTGTTTGTGGAAATGAACCAACGCTCTAGGAAGGCAAGTCTATTACGACATCATAGTTTGTTTGTTGCCTATAAGACAGTTCCTTGCCCTTTTTTTTTTCTGATTTATATTTGTGGATAGGATGCATATTGTTTTTGAAGAAATGGAGATACTGTCATAGGCAACCATTTGAGACATTTTTTTTGTCTTGTATCTTGCCTGACTTTAGTTCCTACTTTTACCTATTTGCCACGCAGTGGCAGTGTCCCATTTGTCTGAAGAACTATTCTTTGGAGAAGATTATCATAGATCCCTATTTTAATCGAATCACATCCAAGGTACCGGTTTTTTCATTACCTTGAGCTCAGGTTGTTTGTTGTATTGACTTTCATATTAGATGCTTTCCCTCAATTATATTTGATAGATGCAAAAATGTGGGGAAGATGTGGCAGAGATTGAGGTGAAGCCTGATGGATCCTGGCGTGCTAAGGTAGAGGGTGGGGATCGAAGGGCCCTTGGGGAGCTTGGGCTATGGCATTCACCCGATGGTACCATCTGTGCACCCACAGAAGCTGAATCCAAACCCAAACCGGAACTCAAACAGGTCAAACAAGAAGTGGGCTCCAATAGCCACCCGGGTCTCAAAATAGAAATGCGAAAAAATAATAACGGCCGCTGGGTTATCAACAAACCGGATAACTTGCACGCTGTCTCCCCCACCAATAGATCCCAAATAAATTTCCAAAACAGCCCGAACGTAATTCCCATGAGCAGCAGTGCCACCGGCAGCGGTAGGGACTATGAGGACGCCAGCGTGAACCAGGATGCCGGTCCCGCCATCCTCGACTTCTCTGTGGTCAATGGGGCCGAGTATGAATCCATTGCCAATGGATTCAACGACCGGGCCACACTTATGCCAGCTGGTGGTGACGCTGAGGTCATCGTCCTCAGTGACTCAGATGAAGAAATCGAGCTGCTGACATCTTCTGGAGGTGCTGTATGTAAGATTGCCGGACCAGATGTCAGTGGGCCCCAGCTCCCAAGCATCCCCAATCAAATTCCCGATCCTGACTACGGAAATCGCACTCTCGGAAATGGTGGCAATTCTTGTCTCGGCCTTTTCAATTCGAACGAGGACGATTTCGGGAACATGTGGTCGTTGCCTTGTGGAAGTCAGGGGTTCCAACTGTTTGGATCTGATGTGGGCGTTAATGATGCCTTGGTCGACATGCAGCACCAAGGGCCTATAAACTGCTCATCGTCAATGAGTGGTTACACTATGACTCCCGAGACTGTTATGGGATCTTCTGCAGCGCTCCTCCCTGAGCCCACCAGTGGGCTCGGTCAACATTCTAAGTCGAACGATGGATTGGTCGATAATCCGTTGGCATTTGGGGCCAGTGACCCTGCTCTTCAGATATTTCTGCCAACGAAGCCGTCAAACGTGTCTGGCCCACAGTTGGATTCGAGAGGCAAAGATGTCCCGAACGGTGGGAGTGGTGGTGTTGGCACGGAGGATTGGATTTCTCTCAGGCTTGGGGATGGTGTTGGGGGTCGTCAAGGCGAATCTGGGTCTGGTAGTCGTGTGGGTGCCGGGCAGTCGGGTGATGGTGGCTTGGGTACGTTAGCAGACAGTGGTATGTGATGTCACTATATCTAGAGGATTATATCAATATTTGCAATCACCTAGAGATATAGCCTTACAGCGAAGAAGTTTGATCATTTTCAAGATGTCTAGTCTTTGTAGCAATCCTTCTTTGTGATTTTTTATTTGCATGCGTGAGTCATCTAACCTTATGGCTTTTTCTGCGGAAGGGTCTGCCTTGAATGATAAGTTACTCTACTTTTATGTGATTACATTATGAATTGTAAAGTTCGAATAATCTCAGCCGCACATATCTTGATGGCTATAGGAGACATCACCTAGGTCTAGTTACTGTTGTCTGCATGGGCTTTAATTATTGTCTTTGCTATTTCTCTCTCTCTCTCTCTCTCTCTCTCTCTCTCTCTCTCTCTCTCTCTTGTTCTGATAAAAGGATCTTTCATTGTTTATACTTTTTGGCAGCATCATTATTGCTTGGAATGAACGGCGACAGGTCTGGTAAGGCAACTAGGGAAAGATCAGATAGTAGCCCTTTTAATTTTCCTCGCCAACGACGATCTGTAAGACAAAGGTTATATCTTTCTATTGATTCAGACTCGGAGTAAAACCTTCAGGGGCCGTATCTACTATCATTCCATATAAATCTCGTTTGAAGAAGACAGCTCCCAAGAAGGATAGGTGCCTGAATTTTTATGCCTAGTTAAACGCCAGCTTGAGAAATTTGCATTTTGGAAGTAACTTCTGGGTGAACAACTCAGCTTTAATTTATCAGACTCGAAACGGACGTACTCGGTGCCTGGTATTTTCCCAAAAAAAAAAAAAAACTGTCTCCTTGTTTTATGGGTGGCATGAATATATCTTTTGCCCGTTTGGTTGTACATCATCTACATCTGGCAGGTATATTATTTGGCGAGTCGTAACATTAAACTTTTTTAGGGGTTTAGGTTATGGTTTGTTGGGGGAATGCTTTTTAGGGTAGGACATTTGTGCTCTTTCCTATTCACCAAAGAGCAGCTTGTATATTTTATTACAGAAGTTTAAAATTTTTATACATAGAAATATAAGTTGATTGTCAGCAGTTTTATTTTATGTTGTTTTGCACTAAAGCTGCTTGTGTGGTAGTGGCTCAATATATTTGCAAATTTATTTGCAAATTGTGGCTCAATATAAAATCCAAAAAGAGTTGGGTTGGGACTCGAGTTTTCACCAAACTCATATGACCTATCCACATATAATGTATCGGAACATGTTGACTCCACCTCCACCATTTTGGAAGGTCACAGTGGAGTAATAGTGTGTTAACACCTAGAAATGAGAGACTTAAGACCTGGATGTTTTCTGCCAATTACAACAGCATCAATGGGTTGTTACATGCATTAATTGGCTGATGACCAAAGATATCTGTAACACTCCACTTTGATTTTAAAGAAATTCCGGGCTTTACAAAAAATCAGTATAAAAATTTTCGAGATCATTTTCGAAATCTTAATGGGTGTTTAACAACATTTTCATAACTCAAGTCTTATCTGAGCTTACGGGGATTCATTACCCGTTTTTCACAAATGGTTTTCATTAACCGAGCATATCACGAGGCACAATTCTTAACTCAAATATATAATCAACCATGGTACCCAACATTAGGGTTCCATAAATTTTTCCAATAAAACACACAACTCATAAGTACTGGAAACAAGTTTCATCAAAAGGCTCATGAAGCCTCATTTATTCAAACGGAAGCAATACCAAGCATAAATAATCGACCGACCCACTCGTCCCTTCTCGTCACCCTGCTTCTGCTTAACCTGCATCGGTATGAAGAGAAGGTATGGTAAAGTATGAACAACGTGCTCACCACTACGCAAAACGTGCTCACAAGATACCACTATGGTTAAAGTACGACCGACCCACAAGATGAAAAACGTGTTCACCACTATGCACATATATCATAACATAATAATGAAGAGAAGGTATGGTTAAAGTATGAACATAAAACAATTACTCTGTCACGTCTCCTAATCACATCACAACATAATACCCACGTGTACACATCTTTCATTAGCCAAGGAAAGGAGATTCATTACCCTAACTCATGGGGGTACGTACCATACAACAAGGTACGGCCTTTCATTAGGTCTTACGGAGACTTACCTCACAAGGTAACCGTATTACATCGACGGGGACAACCGTACCCATGGCCGAATCGGCTCACGCCGATAGGCTACATGGTTTACGCTCATACTAAGATCATACCAATTCAACATTATAATAAACACGTATGGCATAACAAATTTTAGATTAAAACCCACCTGGTATAGCAACGGAGAAAAAATGGCACACAAACGGGTGTAGGCAGCGAGCACGGCTCGTCAGACACATACAACAATTACATGCTAAGATCAACACCTACTTGACCTTAGAGAACAATCACAAGTATACATTGGTCGAACTTGATTCAACCAAGTAGTTCGTGAAGTTCCGTGGATATTGGAACACTTGGACTTAACACTTAACTTGACCAAAAAAATGCATAATAATAACACATATAGTCCTAACACACTAAACGCAGTCAAATAGTTCAAAGGCACACATAAGGGTTTGGGAAAAATTATAAAAAAAGCTTGGGTCGGGCCCCGGGCTGCTCGTTGGCACGATCGTGCACGGCTGGGGGCAGTTGGTGGTGCGCACGGGCGCTGGGCACTGTGCTGGGGGCGCTGGGCGTTGGGCTGCGGGCGTGATGAAGGATCGGGTGTTCGCGTCCTCGTCTTGTCTCGATCACGACTTCGCCACGGCCTTGCTCTCGACGATAGGTGTGATCGACTCGGTTATTAGCCTA